GATATTGCCGAAATTTAACTACTTAAGCTCTTCAAGGCTTTTTTTTGTTAATGGTGTTAGACTTTGGAACTCCCTTCCACTGTCTCTAAAGAACTCACTGCATGAAAGTAATGTAAAACAATGTATCTTTGAATATTTTTCCAGTTAAGTCGCATAATAAGGTGGTCATAAATTTTTTATTTTATAAATTTTTTATTTAAATTTTATTTTTTTTTATATAAATTTTTTATTTTTTTTTTTTTTTTCTATTTGGCTTTTCTAAGTTAATATTTACATATGCATACATAGCTATATTTATATAATTGTAATTTTTATTTTATTTTAATACATATTTTTGTAATCCGTTATTTGTATTGCGCAATAAAAGTTTAATTCTTAATGCGCTAATCTACTTAAATAAACAAAAATAAATCAATCAAACAGGAAGAGTACAGAAGGTAAAAGTTGGTAATAGTATAAGCAACACACTCACTATCAATTTGGGAGTTCCACAGGGGTCTGTCTTAGGCCCGCTATTATTTTTAATTTATTTAAACTCAATTTTTTCGCTACCATTTTTTGGTAAAGTTACCGCTTTCGCTGACGACCTCGCGATTGCGTATGGATCAATGAGTTTTTTGGATTTGGTGGCGGGTATGAATCACGATATACATCTGCTACGGACCTGGTTCGCTAAGCATAAGCTTATAGTGAGTAAAAAAACTCAGATGATGTTTTTTAATCTTCAAGCGAAAAGTGTGCCCAATGTTGATATTGTTTTTCATTCGAGAAGCTGTAGATGTTTCGCCCTGCATGACTTGTCTTGCCCTTTGAAATCCTTCAACTCCAATGCTCACTGTAGCGATTTGTGTTTCACCATTGATACAGTGAAGGACTCTCAGTATTTGGGGGTAGTTCTTGATAAAAATTTATGTTGGTCTTCACACACTTCTCGCTTGAAGACATATTTGCAGTCTACAGTTCGACACTTTTATAACCTTAGAAAGGTATGTTCAAACGCCACGCTTAAAACTCTTTACTACGCGCTAGTCGACTCCAAACTTCAATATGGGATTAGTTGTTGGGGTGGTGCATCTTTGAATAAGCTTCAGCCCCTTTTAACTGTGCAGAAATACGTTATCAGGAAAATTTGTAATGCGAATCGGTTTCACCATTCCATGGAGCTATTTAAGAGCCTGGGAATCTTGCCGGTAAGACACTTGTATTACTATAAGACACTAAAAATATTTTTTATTCGGTGCGGTTACTTACATACTTTGGAGTCGGAAAATTATTGTCTGAGGACCAACACTCAGGGTTTGGTCATTGTTCCGACATATCGTACTACTCATTTGAGTAACTTCTTCACCATTGTATCTTGTAAGTTGTTCAATGTTCTGCCTGCTAATATACGACTCATTAGAAATTTGCCTAAATTTTTGAAAAGTGTTAAATCTTATCTTTTAGAGTTATCACATAATGATATCAAGATTTTGCTGAGACCTAGTATTTAATGAACCTTAAGTCTAAAATTTGTTTTATTGAATATTGAAATTGTAATTTCATAGCACCTTTTTCACCCCACACACTTTATATATGTATATTATATTGGATTTTATTTTTGAAAATAGCATTCGACACTATTATATCCATTTTACAGAATGCTTTACCTTTTTTCTTACAAGTCAATCTAATTGGTCTTTACTTTAAGCTGTTATGTAACATTGTAAGAAAAAATGAATAAATAAATCTAAATCTAAAAATTGGCGTTTCCAATTGGCGTCAGTTGGCACAGAGGAGAAACGACTGGCGTGCTTTGCTGAGCTCGGCCAAAATCGCTTAGGCGGTTACAGCGCCTAAAAAGAAGAAGAAGAAGAAGTTATCAACTTACCTGTTGAATTGCAAAATTTCAGCTTTTGCGGTATTAGATATACATTGGGTTTTTATCACTAATTATAAAATACCCATATATCTATTATTTTGTAATTACTAGAAGCAGCGTGCGCATGCAGTTTTTGGATTATATAAGGCTAATACGATGTTTCCACGCTTCGTAATTCGCTCTCTAAGTAATTCGGGAGTTACCCTGTTTCCACGCCACACATTAGTAATTCGTTTGGCAGCTCTACTTCTTGTTCTTCGCTATTTTTTGTGTACTACAAATATCGAAGATGGAGCTAAAATTTAAGTTATCATCAACAATTTTAATTTATATAGAGAATATTTGGGAAAATTTTAGGAGACGGACGGCAAATTCTAGAAAAAGGGGGGATGAGGTGGGGTAGAATAGGACCCCCTGATTTCAAAAATACTCCCCTTTTTTCTAGCAACCCTATAGTTCTTATATAATTTATTGTTAAAGTTTTCATATAAACGATGAATAAGATAGCAAAATAACATAAAACTTGGTGCTGTCAGACTGAAGTTTTGAATAATAAAAGCGGATTTTTAATTCGGAGTTTTCACTTAGTAGTGTAAAGTATTCGCAAGGAAAGTACTAGTGGCAACTACTCTGCCAAATGCAACCCTACGAAACGGTAGAGGATTACCATTGGTAGCACTGCGTTAATATCCGAACTCTAACCCCGAAGAAGAAGATCCCGTTTGGGTCGTATCCGCAGACGTCGAAGATTTCGCCGGCTTTGGCGCCAGCGCGCTAACAGCCACCCTAACTAATTCCGACAATGAGAGCACCACCGCCGAGCCTGCCGCAGCCACTGCCGAAAAACTTCCCGTTGCCACCACAATCTCTGAGACCGCAGCCCCAGATAGTGAACGTGCCGTTGCCGCCCCAATAAATCTGTTGCCACCACCGATATTATAAATGATGATGAATGTGCCGTTGACCCCGCCAGAAAAGCCATCGCCACCGCTAATGCCGACATTAGGACTGCTGCCATAGTTAATGGAAATTCCGCTGCCGACAATACCACTGCCGAAAATATGGTCGACCGAATGACCGCCACCGCCACCAGGTCCCATACGTTCGCCGCCGCCGCCAGTAGGCCTACCGGCGCCACCGCCCAAGCCATCCCAGCCGAGGGGATAACCACGACACCTTTAGAAAAGCAGATAGAAGGATTGCAAAAGAGGAAGCAACTGGAATTGAGACGCCAAGTGCAGGAGCTCGAAGACGGGTTCGCTTCGCCAACATGCATCCGAAAAGCTGCACCCGCAAAGCAGAATTTTGCGATATAGAACACGCGCTTACGCGACCTTACCCTTTTACATCCTGTCCATGCAGGCACTGGCAAAACAGGGCAATGTCGATGAGAGGGAATTGATTGACTTTATTCTCGATGGAATCAACCAGCAAGTGAGTAACGTGCATCTACTCATGGCGGCCCGGTCGCTCTCCGAGCTCATAATTATGGTCAATAGTTATCAAGATAAATACCTTCTTCCGAACGCTGCCATCAAACGCGCCAACGCTGTTGCCTTGACCAAGCCGACCGCCGCAACTAAAAACAGAGAGGAGCTGCCCGCCGTTAAAGATCTGAAGCTATGCTTCAACTGCAATCAACGTGGGCACATAAAGCCAAAATGCCCGTACCACCTACGCCCCAATGGATCTTGCTTCCGCTGCTGGAGGATGGGTTATGACCACCGTTCCTGCCCCAACCCGAAAAAGATCCTGAAGCCGCTGCCCGACCAACCAGTAAATACCGTACATTACGAAGACGTCATGGGACTCGATAATTTAGACCTAGTAAGTATTGCTTTTGATATTGACCCGGTGGGAAGTGCAGTGTTTAACAGTTTCGTTTCTCTTTTTGATACCGGCAGTCCAACTAGTTTCGTGAAGAAATCCTGCGTCCCCAAATGCCTCAATACATTTAATAAGCCGGAGCGTAGTTACGTTGGGGTTGGAGGCAAAAGAATTAACGTAGTAGGCGTTGTCGACTGCACCATCAACTACAAAAATCAATTAAATAAAATTAAGCTTAATATTTTACGTGACAATGAAATGTACACTCCCCTGATCTTGGGCCGCGATTTTCTAAAAACGTATAAAATACGTTTAACAAAAGTGAAATTTAAATTATCAATAAATGAACTAAAATCGGTTAACAAATCAAAAAAACTTTGCACTTCTCTGCCGGCTGAATTGGTTAATGTTATCAATGGGTTCAGCCTTTCGAGAGACCATGGGGGACGCGCCTGCCGTGAAGACGTTAACTCAGTAGCACCAGATATTTTTAACTCTGAATTAGGTATTGATGAAGTCGATGTAGATGTTGGCCGTTCAGGACCAGATATTCTTAACCGTTGTAATGAAGACACTGATGTAGATATTGCCTGCCGTGAAGATGTTAGTTCAGTAGCGCTAGATATTTTTAATTCTGAATTAGGTATTGATGAAGTCGATGTAGATATTGGCCGTTCAGGATATTCAGATATTCTTAACCGTTGTAATGATGACGCCGATGTAGATATTGCCTGCCGTGAAGACGTTAACCTAGTAGCACCAAATATTCTTAATTCTGAATTAGGTATTGATGAAGTTCATGTCAACATTGGCCGTCCTTTGGGGTCAGCTTGCCGCGACAGTCCTACCTCAGAAGTGCCAGATATTTTTAACGCAGAGGTCTGTAGTGGAGATACCGACATAGATATAGATCTTACTATAACGAAATGGCTTACATGTGCTCATTTATTGAAGCTTAAAAGCATTTAATTTAAATCTATCGTTTGAATATAAAATGATACGTTGTATGGCTCGTTTTACACTTGTATTTTTCGTGCGCTTCGCTTAAGCTTCCATCGATGTATATAGAGAATTTTCATTTGTCAACTTAGCTGCTGTCCATCAGTTGGTTGGTGGCAGCGTTGCCACCTACAAGAATATATTACAGGGTGCCTAACACCCCACCTCCCGTGAATCCTCCTGGCATTCACCATCAACCTCTCGTCTGGCTAGCCGGGATGCGGGCCTACGTAGGAGTCCCCCGGCCGTTTTCACCTCTACGACTCGCACTTGCTCATTTAGCTGGGAAAACCTGTGTGATACGGCCTCGTTGCTATTGCCTGCGGGGTAGCGTTGCATCACATACTATCACCACGTCATTCACTTTCAGGGGCGTAGCTTTTTCTTGCCACTTTGTGCGACGCAAAAGTTGGGGCAGGTACTCCGAAGTCCAGTGCTTCCATATACCGTCCTTTAGATTTTGTGCTATTCCCCATTGTTTGCGCAGGCAAATTTGCTCATCAACTGGGTGTGGTGTCTGCGTGGAATTTACGCAGCCGAGCAGGAACTGGTTCGGCGTAAGCGGCTCGTCCTCTTCGTCACCCGAGCTAGGGTTCAGAGGGCAATTGAATACCCACTCTATATTGTGTTTTGCTGCTTCTGACTCTATGCGATCTGTGTCAAACAGTTGCTCCGATGCTTTCAGTTCTTTCTGTGCGCCGATGAAGTTGGTCCCGTTATCGCTCCTTATCTTCACAGGTGTGCCGCGGCGATTTATAAAATTGCGAAGACACAGGATGAACGCGTCGCTGGACAAATTCTCTGCTAGCTGGAGGTGCGCAGCTCGGACAGTCAAACACGTAAATATGACGCCCACCTCTTTTCTCTACGCCTGCCAATCGCTACGTGAAACGGACCAAACAAATCTACGCCAGTGTACGTGAAAGGGCTCACGAACGGGGTTACACGGTCAATTGGTAGTTGACCCATCATCGGTGGCTGTGGGTTTGCTCTGTCAACCGTACATGTCGGGTACTTTTGTCGCACTCGCTTAAGAAGCGCCTTCATATTTGGAATCCAGTACCTTTGTCTGGTGGCGTTGATGGTTACTGCGAGATTCTGATGGTGGCTCCTCTCATGGACTTCTTTGACAACTAAGACCGACACTGCGTGTTCTGGTGGTAGCAAAATCGGTCGTCGCGTTTGGTATGGTAGGTATACCGTCTCATCGATGCGGCCGCTCAGTCGTAGTACACCACTTTCATCAACATACGGTGACAGCTTGTATAAAGAACTTCGTCTACTAAGTTTGCGCGCCGCTGGCAAGTTGGATATTTCACTCTCGTAACACTCACGCTGGACTAATTTGCAAATCATGTTTTCGGCAGCTTCTATTTCTGTCACGCTCAAGCTCGTTGATGGATTGACTTCGCTATTTGGCTGCTTTCGAAATAGGTTCGCTGCACGCATCACCCAAGCTGTGGTACGCCGCAGCTTCGAAAATGAACCAAATCTTGAAAAATCTATGACTGAGTTACGTGGCTGTACCAGTAGTATCGCTTCGGTCTTAATTTCTTCTGGTAGGACGCCTTCCGGTTTTAGTGTTAGGGTGGGCCAATACTGCTCGTGGTACTTTAACAAGTCGGGACCCTTTACCCAACGGTTGTTGATATCAAATTTCGGTGGACATAATGGGCGCATGGCAGCGTCTGCAGTATTTTGCGCAGTTGGCACCCATCGCCATTGTTCCGGGGCAGTGGAGGTGAGTATTTCGGATATACGATGCCCGACAAACGCCTTGTATTTCCTCTGCGATGAATGTATCCACTGCAGAACAGTTTGCGAGTCGCTCCAGAACACCGCCCGCTCGATCGTGAACTCGTGGGATTCTTGAATTAATTTGAATAGACGGGTGCCCAGGACAGCTGACTGCAGTTCGAGGCGCGGGATCGACATAAGCTTCGTCGGAGCGGTACGGGTTGTTCCCATTACGAAGCTGACGTCAATATTTCCTTCGTGAAGAATTCGCAAGTACCCCACCGCAAAAAACGCAACATGACTAGCGTCGACAAATATATGCACCTCGACTTTACCCATGCTTGCGCCGTGTGGTGAGTAGCACCGTGGAATCGTGAATTGCTTCACGCTGTTGAATTCTTGCCACCATTGTAAACACTTCCTACCTAGCTCCATCGGAAGAATGTCGTGTTGTGTTACGCGCTTGGGAGCCCTAGCGCTCCCCGGTGCTACCTTCACTGTAGAGGTGCAGTCGACGAGTTGTGCGGAGCCCTGGCGCTCCGCCCTTGCTACCTTCACGGTAGTGGTGCTACCGCGTTACCAGCCTACGGTGCCGCTGGTACTTTCCATTAAGTCCTGCGGGAATATGCAGCAGACTTTTCCCTAAGTCCCGGGAGCTGACTTACTGCACCCGGCCCACACTTGACCAATTAAATTAAAACTTTATATTTTTTTACAACCTTCGGGTTTAGAATCGCGCGCCAGAGTGACGCCAATTTATTTTTAATTTTCAGTCTTAAACCTAGCTGCTATTGTTCAACACAACAACGTTGCATTTTCAATATCGTAAATTTATATTTGTAATAGGGCGGATTCATATTAGGTAATTTTGTAGAGTTGCAAATTTGTATGCTTGATCGCATTACATCACCCTCCGTAGGAAAGGAAGAATTTGGCAAAGTGATCAGATTTGCCACATTCTTCTTGTCCCTAATAAAATCAAAGTTAAATAGTTAAATTAAAACATATTGTAATTAGTTCTTATTACTAATTTATTTGCTAATAATTATTTAATTCGCCAATTATTGTATAGTAGTGATATTAAGTAGATTAATCATATTTCGTATATAATTAAGTAGTAGTAGTATATTCTTTAAGTAAATAGGTATTATTACAAAAGGAATTCGAGATTTTTGTAATGTATACTAAGAGATTTTTATTTTGACAAATTGATTTGTATATATGTATATATTTTGTTGTGAAGCTTTCTTATATTGTAATTTTTGTAAAAATTATATACAGTAATAATTGCATGTTATAAAATGATTGTACAACTGAATGTATTTAATTCAATTAATTTTGTTGGGACTTAATACCAAATTTTTAAACAATATGTGAGTATTTAATTATTGCTATAATATATTAACCTAACCTGCAGGTGTAAACTATAAGTAATGCGAGTTTTTGGAATCGAATAACTTATATCGTATTTATTGCAAAATATTTGATAGCGAAAGGTTAAGTTTTCAACGTATGCTTACACACATTTTAAATATGCATGTATGCATTTTCCTTATGTGTTTAAGAAATTCAAGTGGTTGTTAAATTCAAAAGTAGTTATTACATTTCGCAAATGAGTGATTAAGTATAGTGAAATATTTATCTAGTGACTTTTTGTATTCGGTTTTTGTGAACTTAAACTTGCTCTTTTGACTTGTCGAATATTGTTATATTAACACCGTCGATTTCAGTCACAAGTTAAGGGCCTTGGTATATGCTGTGGTGTTTGTCACGGGGTTCTTTTTGAATCAAAACCATGTCGTCTTTATTAATAGATATTGGACGTGCATATCTATCGTATAACTGTTTATTCCGGACCTTATGATTGGTGATAAGCTCTTTTGCCAAAATGTGTGATTTTTGCATCCGGTACTTAACCTCTTTTGCATAATTTTCAACGTTGTAAATATGATCAATTCTTTCTTTTTTCAATTCGTGAGGTAAAGTCGGTGTCTTCCCGAAAACTAGTTCGAATGGAGTAAATTTGTTGTCATAAACAGAATTTGGCGTTGTATTATGCAAAAAGGTGAAATACTTAAGATAAGTGTCCCAGTCTGAAATAGTCTCATTTAGGTATGCACGTATGTACTCATTAAAAACGCGATGGTTTCGTTCAATTGTGTTCACTGTTTCGTGATGGTGTGCTGTCGAAAAGTTATGATCAATTTTTAAAAGTTTTGTTAGTTCCGAAAATATTTCATTTTTATATTCAGTCCCTAAGTCTGATCTGATGGAATTCATTATGCCGTATACTAGTATACAACTTTCAAAAATGGCAGAAGCAATAGTTTTGGCGCTTTTATCTGGAACAGTAACTGTTACCAGATACTTTGTCAGATCACAAATCATAGTAACAGCGAACTTGTTACCGCTTATTGATTCTGGCAAGGGTCCTATTGTGTCAATTATCACTATTTCAAAAGGTTTCTTAGGTGTTGGCGTTAAAACAAGGTTTTCTTTTATTTTAGGTTTCACCTTGTTTAGTAAACATTTTTCACAATTTTTGACGAACTTTGATATATCACGGGTCATGTTTTTCCAACAATATTTTTTACGGATCTTTGCATACAACGTTTTGACTCCGCAGTGTCCTCCGCTTATCGGGTCGTTATGGTAGATTGTCATAATTTGGGGTTTCTTTTCGTCGTCAGTCGTTTTTTCGTTATTAATCGTAAAATTAAGTAACTCGAGTTTTTTGTGTTTTAAATGTGCACAAACTCGAAAATTTGAAATTTTATTATCTTTACCATATATAATATTTGTTTTCACCCGGGGTATTTTTTTTGAGTAATTATATGAAAATTTGTCGTAAACCTATAACGTTATATTGTCATTGCATTCATTATCGTACTCTAAGGGCCGGTTACTCAATGTCTGGTTAACATTAATCTCCGGTAAAACATCGTTATCGACGTTACCGACTCCATGTTATATGCATGGAGCCGAACACGTCGATAATGATGTTTAAACGGAGATTACTGTTAACCAGACATTGAGTAACCGGCCCTAATTGTGTTTGCTTCTTCATTGGTCGTGTTTTTACCGCTAATACTTGTTTAGTAGAGTCTTTTAGTTCGTTCATTGTAATCCGTGATAATGTACTCAATTGTAAAATCATACTCTGAAAGTTCTAGACGTATTCTAGCAAGCTTTGACGACGGGTCCTTCATGTTGAAGAGATAAACTAAGGGTCGATGGTCAGATTTCACCGTAAAGTGATAGCCGTAAACATACGGTCGAAACTGCTTGATTGCAAAATATATAGCTATGAGTTCAAGTTCAATAATTGGCTTATTTTGCTCTGCTTTATTGAAAGATGTAGAAGCAAAACATATTGGCAAGTCATTACCATCATGGTTTTGGCTCAATATAGCACCGCACCCAACTTTCGAAGCATCGACCGTAATAATAAATTGTTTTGTGAAGTCTGGGTACTGTAGCAATTTTGGGGAAATTAACGCTGATTTTAAGGACTCAAAAGCTTTGTCGCAAGCACTGTTCCAAATAAATTCAACCTTTTTTCTGCCTAATTGATTTAAGGGCGCTGCCAGCGACGCAAAATTTGGTATAAACCGCCTGTAATAATTAGCAAACGCGACGAAACGTCGAACCGCGTCCTTTTCAGTTGGTTTAGTGTATTTTTTAACAGCGTTTACTTTGGTGTCGTCTGGCAACAGAAGAAAATTGCATTTGTTCGGGTTGAGTTTTAGGTTGAAGTTTCGACAAGTGTCAAAAACTTTTGCTAAATTTTTAATATGATGTGTTTCACTACACCCAATAACGATTATATCGTCAACGTAAAGAAATGCCACATTGGGCGGAATACCGGAAAAAGCAATTGTCATCATGCACGAAAATGAGTTTGGTGCTACATTTAACCCAAATGGTAATACTTTCCATCTAAATGCTCCTCGGTCCGTACTGAAAGATGTTACGACACGTGAATCAATATGTAAAAGGATTTGATGAAACCCTGAAAAAAGGTCTAAGGTTGAAAAATACTTCGCTCGACCAAGGTTGTCTAAAATGTCGTCTACTCGCGCAAGAGGGAACTTATCGGCAATCAATTTCTTGTTAACAGCGCGGAAGTCTACACACATTCGGTACGCTTTTTTGCCACTAATATCTTTTTTGGAACAACAATTAGAGGACTATTATAATTCGAATAGCTTTCTTCGATTAACTCATTTTCTAATAACTTGTTAACTTGGGGATTTATTTTTTTACGCTGGGAATATGGTAATCGGTAATTTTTAATGTAAACTGGGTTATTGTCTGTCAATCTTAGTTTTTGTTCGTAAATGTATGTCTGCGTAATCTATGCACAAGTCAAGTAATTTGCTTTCAGCGTACTTAGGAATTTGTTTTTTCAAAACGTTAATCAGTTCTTTTGTCCGGTTGTCATCGTTTATCGTCTTGTTAACGGAATATACATTGAAATTAGAGAGTTTTTCAGTCCGAATGTTACAGTTCTTTACGTATTTTATGTCATTTGTGGTACTTATGACTTTGACGATTGGGTTGCTTGTACTAACTATGCATCGTGCTGTGAATACATCGTTATCAATCTCTTGTGATTCTACAAACAGAGGCTCCGGTGAACTTCCTAAATTGAAAAGTCTGAAAACTTCGCATCTGGGTGGAATTATGCAGTTGTCGCTTTCAGTTCCGTGAAGAATCGGAATCGCGACTTTTTTGTTACCTACCCAGAAGGAAATGCAATTGCTTGCAAAGCTGATAACGAATTTATTGACTTTTAAAAAGTCTTTACCCAATATACCGTCTGCAGGGATGTTAAACTCGTCATTAACCACATGTAACGTATGTTCTATAAAAAAGTCAGAAAAAGTCAAATTTGTCGTAATTTTACCCAGAGTTGAAACAGTGTTTGAAGTGACACCCGTGATGCGGATAATATCATTCGTATCAATTGGAAAATATTTGTGAAAACTTGAAATTTTAATTAAAGAAATGTCGGCTTGCGTGTCAACCAAAAACGTACATAATTTATTAGACAAGGAAATTTTTAATTGAATGAAATCTGAACAGTTTAGATTTAAGCAGTAAATGCCTTTTGTTACAGGAAAATCGTTTAGTTGTCTAACTCCTGCTCCCCCAGTGTTCGCTCCTGAGGGGCATGAGCGTTTAAAGCACGGACATTTGCATTCCTACTCCTACCGTTTGCAGATCGTGCATTATTGTTCCTATTGGTGTTGCTGTTGGAATTAAACCGTGAACCATTGCGAATCGGATAATTCTTCAACGCGTTTGGCAAATTATGAATAATTGTCCTCAATCAA